AAAGGAAAGAGGATAAGATGAGATAAGATAAGAAGTACCTTATTGATCCCAATTTGGGAAATGTTTGGTTTGCAGCCGCATAAAAAGACAAGGCATTGTTGAATAAAAAATGCACATGTTGATGGATAGAAGGAAGGAAGGAAAGAAGGAAGGAAGGAAAGAAGGAAGGAAGGAAGGAAAGAAGGAAGGAAGGAAGGAAGGAAGGAAGGAAGGAAGGAAGGAAGGAAGGAAGGAAGGAAGGAAGGAAGGAAGGAAGGAAGGAAGGAAAGAAGGAAGGAAGGAAGGAAGGAAAGAAGGAAAGAAGGAAGGAAGGAAGGAAGGAAAGAAGGAAGGAAGGAAGGAAAGAAGGAAGGAAGGAAAGAAGGAAAGAAGGAAGGAAGGAAGGAAGGAAAGAAGGAAGGAAGGAAGGAAGGAAGGAAAGAAGGAAGGAAGGAAGGAAGGAAAGAAGGAAGGAAGGAAAGAAGGAAGGAAGGAAGGAAGGAAGGAAAGAAGGAAGGAAGGAAGGAAGGAAGGAAGGAAGGAAGGAAGGAAGGAAAGAAGGAAGGAAGGAAAGAAGGAAGGAAGGAAGGAAGGAAAGAAAGAAGGAAGGAAGGAAAGAAGGAAGGAAGGAAGGATGTTTGACAGAAAACATCAGATCCATTCCAGGTGACCCTAACCCACCCCTCCTGTCTCCTCAGGTGTGCACGGAGAAGTGGCCGGGGAAGAGCACGGACGGCACGGTGTACAGCATCTCCATGCTGATCCTGCAGTACTTCCTGCCGCTCTCCATCATCTCCTTCGCCTACGCACGAATCTGGTCGAAGCTCCGCGCCCACGTTAGCCCCGCGGAGACCGTCGTTAGCACCAGCAGCGCTACGTCTGAGCGCCATCGCAGACGGCGGAAAACCACCAAAATGCTGGTGACCATGGTGGTGGTTTTCGCCGTCAGCTGGTTGCCTTTCCACGCCTTCCAGCTGGCGACGGACATCGACAGCGCCGTGTTGGATATGCGATGTTTCCGCCTGCTCTACACCGTTTTCCACGTGGTCGCCATGTGCTCCACCTTCGCCAACCCGCTGCTTTACGGATGGATGAACCGAAACTACCGCGCCGCCTTCCTCGCCGTCTTCAAGTGTTGCCGAGGCGGCGAGATGAAGAGAGGCGGGAGGTTGGATAGCATCCATCCCGTAGGAGGAGGAGGAGGAGGAGGAGGAGGAGGAAGGGTGAAGAAGATCGTGGTTGAAACGCAAGACACGGTGTCCACCCACCTCAACGCCACCGATGTTTGAGAAGGAGGCGAAGGAAGGAGGGAGGAAAGGGAACGAGATTATAGAAGTAGAAAATCAGCCTCAACTTATGTACAAAAAGAAGGGATAAGAATAAAATGCAACAGAAGAAAGAAATCAGGAATGTTTTGATCCAGTAGAAGGGCGAAGAAGAAGAAGGTTCTTGAAACACAAGAAGTGGTGCCCAACCACCTCAACGTATGCACAAAAAGAAGGTGGAGAACGAGGGATGACAAGAAAAAGCAACACGTTTACGGAGGAAGGAGAAAGGAAATGACTAAAAAAACAACCCGGCAGAAAACAAGAAGAAATACAAGAGACCTGCCTCAACTTATGCACAAAAAGAAGGGATAAGAATCAAACGCAACGAGGTCAAAGTGGAAGGAAGTCAGGTGGAGGTGGAAGGGCGAGGAAGATGGCGCTTTAAAACACAAAACACGGGGTCCACCCATCTCAACACCGAGACAAGGCAACAGGTTTACGGAGGAAGGAGAAAGGAAAGTGTCCAATGCAACGACATCACAGAAGGGTCGTTCGTTCTTTGACCTGCCGAACAATAAGTCCAACCCATCGGACGAAACACAATCTGCAGTGTCCACCCAACCTAACTTGTGTACAGAAAGAAGTTAAAGAAGTTGGGAGGGATGGCAATACAAAGGAACAAGATGACAGAGGAAGGAAAGTGTTTGTCATGCAGAAGGAAATCCATCAAATCCTGTGAAAGGAAATGAAAGGGCGGAGAAGATGCTTGAATTACCAGAAGCAATGTCCACCCACCTCAATGCCACTGATGGACAGACGGAAGGTGGAGAAGGAGGGGGGGATGACAAAAAAATGCGACAAGATTACACAGGAAGGAAGTATCTTGTCCCGCAGAAGAGGCAACAAAGAGAGACAAAGAAATAGAAACAAGAGGAGGCCGACGGCGGGACTTAAGAGTTTCTGAAAAGCCCCGAAATAGAAGAGGAGGAGGCAGGGATTAGGAGAAGAAGAATGACTCCACGTCTGCTCGACAAATCGAAGCTTTGAAGACGTGACCTCCTTGTGACGGAGGGACTTTTCTCTGGGGGATTTGTTCGAGTGACACAGCTTTGCATGAAGGATTTGTGGAAAAGTTTGCCCTGAAAAACAGACAGGAAGTCGGATGGTGGATTGTTTTATAGCAACTGAAGGAACAGACTTTGGTCAACTTCGTCAAAATAGGGCTTTTACTCCATGTTCATTCCACGTGTGAAGCATTTCGCTCGTACTCTTAACCCCAGATTGGTTTAAAGGCAGTGGGTTGAGGATTAACATTGACAAACATTTGGGCAGAATCAGCTGCGAGGGACTTTTCACGCTGAGCGAAATCGGAGGCCGCTGAAGACCGTGCAAAAATATCTTGTCAGGTGAAAGAAAAAACCCAAAAAGCCTGGATTTAAGAGTCCAAGGAAAGGATGCATGATGCAAGCTGTGTGAAATCTCAGACACTGTTATGTAATGTGTGTTTGAAATGTGCTCCATCCTACAATAATAGCCAGGAAGAAGTGGACATAGATATAGGAAAGAGAAGGGCGAGAGCGGGGGGGAATACAAATGATTTCAAAGCCTTTTTTTATCAGTAGCTTCAGGGCAGATGGGCAGAAAGTGAGGAGAGGATCAATGTGAGGAGGGAGATGTGAGATAATGAGGGAGAAGGAAATAAACATCTTCAAATGAAAATCCAGCTGAGATCACACAGATTTCAAAACGTCTCTTCAGTTCGAAACTGCACGATGTTAAACGTGTTAGATGAATCTGATTTAGCTGAGAGGCAATTCGTCAAATCTGGCTGACTGCTCAGATTTTGCGTCACGCTTCGATTTCATTTTCATTACAGAGTTTAATCAGCACAACGTAATAATATAGGAGGAAAGAGATGGTTCGAATATGATTGTTCACTCTGCAGAATTTCTTTTATTTCATTTTGTAAGTGTTTCTTGTACTTCAAAGTGACTTTTATTTAGTAAGTGAAAAATAGTGGGCTATTTTGCCCTGAACTGAGCCTTTCAGGCATTTTGTCTTATAGAAAAAAGGCCTGCAGATGCAAAAAAATGTATTGGCATATATGTTAAGTGTTGTGTAATTCTAAAGACTCCACTCCTTATGTATAAACAATCTCTGCAAATTAAAGGTGATATTTAAGTTTAAATGTTCAGGTTTGTCGGAAACCAAAAGCACCTTACTTACAGATCGCCAGCCATCAATGAAACCGAAGTTTATTTATACCAGCGAGAACCAGGCAACGCAACAGTTGTTCTTAGTAATGGCCATTAAGGCTCGTTAGTTAACTTAGTAAGTGATTTAAGTAAAACCTTTACAAACGGTGCCTTACAGGCCTTTTCCACTACAGGAACTCAAAGTGTGTGTATAGATTGTGATAGGTGCAGCTCAGGAGAAGGAGATGAAGCCAAGTTTAGCGATTTCTGGGAAGAATAAAGCAGTATTGTCAGTGGCCAAATGTTTCAAACTATGTTACCCTACGTACCAATCTTTAGCTTCAGCAGAAATACAGGAAAATACTTTAGGAATCTGGGTTAGAATAAGTGTTTATTAAGTTCATAATACCATTTTGCTAGGCTGTGTTTCCCTTCTTTAGAAATGCAGAAACTGAGATCACTATCGGTTTTCATATTTGTATTTTTTTTTCTATCAATGCTGGGACTGTAGTATTTTGTGATTCAGTCTACATTTTTTTGGCAAACTGTTGAATCTTTTGCAATTAGATTATCTTTTAGATCCCATTGGTTCTCCTTCTGATGACGGTCCTCCTTATTCCTCCCACTGAACACTTGTTGTATCCCGGACGAGCCCCCAAAATTGTTAAAAAGTCCATCCATCTTCTCCCGCTTATCCGTGGTCGGGTCGCGGGGGTAGCAGTTCCATCAGAGAGCCCCAAACGTTCCTTTCCCTGGCCACATCAACCAGCTCTGACTGGGGGGTCCCAAGGCGCTCCCAGGCCAGAAGAGATATAATCCCTCCACCTGGTCCTAGGTCTACCCCTTGGTCTCCTCCCAGCTGGATGTGCCTGGAACATCTCCCTAGGGAGGCGCCCACGTGGCATCCTAACTAGGTCCTTTCAAAGTGTTGAATAATTTGCAAAGACCTTATCCGTCGCACAGTTATCTAATATTATATCTAATACCAACTTTGGATCACGTGTTAAAACATGTACTTTTGAAAAACTAGAATATAGAGGCAAATGAATTAATAGTGTGTTTTGCTGCTTTGTCATTTCTATATTATGCACGATTTGGGTTATCCAGCAATGTTTAGCTGACGGTGACATTGAGAAGCAACATTTCCAGTCATATGAGGCGGAGCGGCACAAGTAAAAAGGGATATATTTGTATTTCTCTTGCAGTAAAAAAACAAACAAAAAAGTATTTTAGTGACACTGATAAAAAAGTCATTCGATTTAAAAGTGACAAATATCAAAAATGGTTCCAAATGTTTCATCGTCGTTTTGAAATAAACTACTCACAACTAAATCACTAAATAGAGCATAAAATGTGTGCTTTTTCATTGAAATGTAACCCAAATGTTTGTTGAAAAACACAAAGCACGTACTTAAAAACTTCCTGTAGTGGAAAATGTCCATTTTTAGAAAAGTGGTACCCTAAAACACTTACTTACAGATCAATTCTGAATGTCAGTGTCATGATTTCCATGCCCTGAGTCATATTCATTTATATTCCTATATATCTGCCAATCTTTCACCCCCGGTGTTCCCATCATGCACCCTGCCCGCAGGCTGAAAATCATTACCTGTCTCTTTAGTGATTTCGGGGACAGGAAAGGTCAAAAAGTGCATTTGTTTTTTCAGAGACCTTTTTTTTATTCCCCCTAATGAATATGACTTCTCCTAAAGCTCCTTTTCTTTCCACACCATTGATCGGCGCCGCTCCAAATTAAATTGCAAATGTTATTACCAAAGGTCTCATTAAACTTTAATTGCCTGATTTTAATTACGGCTCTCTGTTTCCCTCTGTGTCAACATGCTAAACACTTTGCACAATGTGAATCAACACTACAGCAGTTATTAGTTCTGCAGATGAAACCCTTAGCTTTTTTTATTTTTGGGGATTTAGCCTCTTGTTTTTCCCTCTTTAATTCTCCGTCTCTTGTATGCGTCATTACCTCGCCCGACCCGAAATCCCACAATCCCTCACCAGCTGTTTATCTCCGTCCTCTTTCAGCCCATCGTCTGTCTCGTTCCACCCTTTTCCCCGTGAATGCATGCCTCAAACTGATGGAGAACGGGGTTTTCCTCTGAGGGAAAAATGTCTATTTTCGTCCTCATGATGGAGGATTTCATAAAAAAAAAAACAGCTGCAATGTTGGTGATATTTTACCCTGACTGTATCCGCCTCAAATATATCTCCAGCAAATAACTAAAACATAAGTAAACCAATATGTGCTTTACTTTAACAGCAGCATCCTGAGTTATGAACCTTGGCGTTAAATTGGATGTTTTATGAAAAGGATTATATTTTGAATGCTAAAAAGATTAAAAAAGGGCAGTTTGACGTCATCTAGTTTGCTTTTAATCCTTGAACATATTCCACAATGCATTGCGTGGGTACGTCATCATGCACCATGCATGGAAATATTTTGTAAACAAATCGAATTTATTGGAGCATTTTAAGGACTTGGATTGACATTAATTGTACAAAAAAGGATTATTTTTTTGGTAAAACATGAATAAAAATACAAGCATGTGGTCATACAAACTTTTTTTTAACGTTTTTAATTTTTTCTAGCAAGCAGAACACTTCAGAAAACATTATGACACACTTAGTGAATGGATATTTCTTGTTGCAGTGCATCTTGGGAGTTGTAGTTAACTTCTACCTTTTACATTTTTGAGTCTGTTTTCTACTAAATTAATCTTTTGGACTTTTTTGAACCAGTTTCCAAGAACAAACGTAACATTTAACTAATTGAAGAGTTTTGAAACAGTATTATTATTTCATCACGTTTGTGACACTAGCTAGCAATACGTTTATAACATCTAGCAACGCTCATAGGACTCAAAGCAAACAAGATGGCGTCATTCCCGTTCAAACATGTCTTTCAGCTTGTTTTCTATTATTTGCAGAACAGTACCCGGTGTTTATTTCCTCAGTGATGATGTTCTGATGTTTTTCTGACGAGGTTTGGGGGGGACACAGATGCTGCTTGACCTTTATAAAAACATGAATGTAAAACTGCTTAGTAACATGGCTGTGATGTTGTGTATCGTGTCATTCCGTGTAAATATGTGTGAAAGACTGTAACCAAGCACAACGTGTGGGCCTTTACTCGTGTCCAACAACATATGTACTGTTTTCTCAAGCACAAATACGCCTCTGACTCTTTATTTACCTGTGTGTGTGTGTGTGTGTGTGTGTGTGTGTGTGTGTGTGTGTGCTGTGTGTGTCTGTCTTACTGGTGTTGTGGGGACACATCTCTGTTTACACAATCACAATGTGGGCACACGCAACTAGGGGCTTACAAAAATGTAAGTTTAAGGTTGTGTGTGTGTGGGTGTGTGTCCTTATATACATTTGTTTTGTTCGGGGCTGTCACAATATAAGATTTTCTCTACTGTGAAAGTACTAATTCAGGATAGCGATATTGTCACGATACCTTGATAATATTTAAAAATATGTATAATTTTGCTCAAAATCTTTTTTTAGCATTTGACTTATTTGTTCAGTTTAGAAACATAGTTATTTAACATTACAGCTACTTAACTTACATAACAATCATAAACAAGTCACATATTGCAATACTTTTAGATAATAATACTTTTTTTTAAAGAAAATATGACCAAGAAAATTTACAAAATGCATTGATTTGAACCAAAACATGTACCTGTAGTCATCCGCTGTCTTTCTGAACAATATAAGGTTAAATAAGTGCAGCAAAGCTTTCATTAACTCCGGCTTCATCAGTGCGGAAGGTCTCAGCTGCAGGCGACTTCACAGTTTCACTTGCTATACATGTATACACAACTCAATTAAAAATGTAAGCGACGTGTTTGTGTGTAAAGCAAGCTGACATCTAAATATTCAACAGACAGCGTTGGATCTGTAGCTCCAGGTGGGATCAGTTCAGCAGAAAGAGACACGATGAGTTCTAATTGAAAACGGTTACTGACGCTCGTTCATAATAAATGTGCCTCACTGGGCAGAAAAGGACAATTAGACAGAATAAGTCTATTTTTACTTTTTCATCCACAACTTTTACTCAACAGTGAAACGTTTGGACATGATTACTGTTTAAATCCAATCCACTTTATTTCTATAACACATTTTAAAAACAGAGGGTTTGCCAAAGTGCTTCACAATGAACATAACATTATAACAAAATATAATATTACAAGAATAGATCAAATGCACATAAAGGCTAAGGACAGACAAAGCTCAGACTGACTCGAAGGCGAGGGAAAAGAGGTGGGTCTTCAGGCGGGACTTAAAAGTTTGAAGAGTGGGCGACAATTTGACATGGGGGGGGGCAAGTCGTTCCAGAGCCTGGGGGCTACCGCTGAGAAGGCTCGGTCTCCCCTGGTCCTTTACCTTGTTTAAAGGCCCAGATACACCGGCCAGTCACCTGAGAAGTCGCCGACACCGACTGTTACGTCGCCGGACTCTCCTGCGTATTTGCCGACTTCGCACACTGGAACACACCGCAAATCCGAGCCGAGCACGTATGAACTGCGCATGCGTGAGTGGCAATAACTCTCCTTACCAGCAGGCGGCGGTAGTGTGTATTCATCATTCAAAAGAGGCAACAACCGGAACAACCGGAAGACAGAGAAGAAGAACAGACCCGTGATATAAACAAACAACAAATAGCGTTTTTCTTTCCATTTTCACTCTCGACCATTGAAAACATGAACGAACAGGAGCTCTATAAACCCGTGAGGTGAAATAGCCGTCCGTGTGTGTTCCATCTTCCATTTAAAATCATTTGTTTACCTCCCTCCCTTCCGTTAACGCTTCTCATGCACTGATTCGCTAGCTGAACAGCCAATCAGTGTTATCCCTTTGT